AAAAAAAAAAAAAAAAAAAAAAAAAAATTTTTAAAAATATTAATAATAAGAAAATAACATTAAGTAATCTAAAATACAAAAAAAAAAAAGAAAAACAACAACAACAACAACAACAACAAATAAAGAAATAAAGAAAAAGCAGCTGGTATCATCTTAGTCTCCCTCGCAGCCGTTTTTAGTATCGTCACGCAACGCTCCTCCCCAGGAGGAGCGTTGCGTGACGATACTAAAAACGGCTGCGAGGGAGACTAGTATCATCTTCGAGTATGAGAAAACATTATTTTGTTGCAATTAATTTGTTGGGCGAGTGAGGGTCCATGCAAATGACAATAATGAGTGAGAGCTTGTCTCTAAATTCATAATATATTAAAACGGGTCGCGAGGTGGGGGGTTTTGAAGTTTTCCTCACACAGGCACCTCTTGCAATTGTTTGCCACGCGGTTATAATCATTTGACGGTTATCCATTTATGGCTTTGCCACCGTAAGAAGAGCTTAGAGACACGTGGCTTAGGACTTTAGTGGATAAGATTCATATTCGCTGTGAATAGTTGCAGTAGCTGTGGAAGTGCAGTGGTAGTTTCCAACTGTTGTCAGTTAGACTAAATTTTAGCCGTCTAAGGACAGCTCCTTTCCTTTCTATTCACCTTTGACCCGGACAAGTAACAAATGGATACTGTCAATATTCAGTGAATTTAGCTGAAAAATATTGTTTACAAAAATAACAAGTCACATAAGCAAACCTTTAAGTGTCTTCGATAAATTAGGCTTGGGCTCGAAATATAGGGGGAACAGCGTTTCTGCACACAGAGTGAAAAAAAATGCAACGTCACAGGGGATGCCGAAATTAAATCACTGTGACAGAGGCAATCACCACCCTCAACCTGGCGGGAAAAAAGAGGGGACTGTAAACTAGCTTGAATTTCAGCTGTCCCCACGAGTCGCAAACTCCTCTTTCAACTTGGGGTGACGTCTGAAATATCAGGCTAACTGTAAGCAGTATAGAAACTATTACGAATGTGAGTATTGTCCACTAAAATCCAAAGACAGGAGCCCCTATTTGTAAGCTCGCTCTTCTTGGGTTTGCAGAGCCTAGTCTGTAAGTAATTCATGTCAACCTCAAGAAAGCAAAGCACCTGGCTTGGCGCACGCTACTGGTGTACACGGCTAAGAATCTCACATCGTTTGGCTCTTATGAACTTATTAAAACTCGGATCACATCGATATTTGGCAAGAAGTAAAAGTTTATAAACAGCTTTTCATTGAATATTTTTTTTCTGGCTTTAAGACCAAAATAAAATTAAAATATGAAAAATATGGCTCAAAATGGGACCATTTTTTAACAGCTTGCGTAACATTTACAGTCTAACCACGCATATTGTGGGATTTCTCTATTTCTGTTAATGGTACTTTGGAAAAATTTCTCCACAGAGGTCAGTGACTTATGAGTACTAACTGTATTAAAAACAAAAAAGGTTTAGGGCGTTTTAAGAAAGATGTTCTGTCTACATCCGATCTCTGTGCAGTGCGAACGTCAATTTAAAAGATTGCTTTTGATTGACTTTCTTTTGTTGTTAAGAGAAGAAATAATAATTTTTGGAATGCTCATAAGTTAAACCTTCCTTATAGACTAACTGTTAAGACTTCGGGAAACCCATTTTTATGCTAAGATCAAATATCTAAGGTTAGACAGCATTTTTTAACGTGAAAATTCGTAAACCGTCCGTTGGACTGAAAATCGGATTCTAGAGAGTGCTTTGGCACAAAGGTTTTGTGCCTAAAATGTGCCTAAGATGTGCATAAAGTGTGCATTTTAGTTTTGAAAAACGTGCCTAAGCCGTGCCTAAGTTGTGCCCAAACTGTGCCTAATCTGTGCACAAGTTGTGCCAAACTATTGAGTCACTCGGAAAATCGTGTCCAGCCTATCGAGCTCCACGGCGAAAGAAAAGTGCGCACGGCAATTATGTCAGTTTTAAGATTTACGAAGTCTAGAAACACGGTCTGACGACCTTTTTATCCCCTAATAAAAAATAACATGACTCAGAATACGGTTAGAGACAGCAGGGAAAGCCCCGACAAACAGGAAAATGGAATCTTAAACAGGTTAGCGTATTTAAAATAAGTGCTCAGCTCAATGACGTGTTGATATAATTTCATCGATTCAAGAATTTCACTGCATGATGTTAAAAAAATTTCCAAGTGGGCTTTTTCTCCCCGTCTTAACGGAGCGTTTAGTTGAAACGAAATATTTGTTTTTTCAGGAGGGCAGATTTGCATTCAAAAAAAGAATTTACTTGTGATATGACTTATAAAATGAAAACGAAAAAATTGATTGCACGCCGATGAGTTTTGAAGCAAAATTGGCACGTCTCATCGATTATTATACGATCAAAGCTTAATTTGCTAACAGAGCCAGAAAACAAAAACAAACAAGCAGCTTGAATTATTTTACTACTAAGTGTAAATACTACTTTTTTAGT